CGCATAACACTTTATTTATGGTTGACCTTTTTTATTGCCTTATATAAACACATAAAATGTAACGGTTTTTTCTATTGAAAGTTAAGCGTCTTGATCCCTCTAGAAACCCCAAGACGAATACTCTGTCAAGAATCCCACAAGCAGCAACAACTACGCACCACCAACTTTTTTCGAGGATCTCTCTCGAATAGCTAGCTCCGACTTTTAGCAGCTATAATCTCTCGTGTTCGATTTATTTATTAATACACTTTATAATTCAACCTTTTACTTTCCTAGTTTATAAATTAGCATTTTTTTATCTGAGTGCACGCAGATGTTAAGTGTTAATTAATTAAATTAATTTATCCTAATTAAATTGTGATTGCCGTCCAACTACTCCAGGTTCACGTGAGTTTATCTATAAGTATACACCCTAGCGTTCCAAACCGTGGGCAGGTAATATAATTACATTTTTCTTTAGTTATTCATTTCGTCACCATTCTCGGATTCACGACTCCGAAACCCTTTCAAACATAGGAAGGAAGGTAGTAATACAACTAGTAGGCTGAGCCTTTATTATGATTAGAAATAAATTATTCTTTGTAGCACCAAAACTTAGATCGACTGTTTCACACTGCATAAACACATTTTTATACCTACTCCTTTATATTACATTCCTTATAGGTATTTTTACGTGATTATCTTATTATTTTAAATATAATTATCTTCTTCTTCTATACTTAGTATCCTAAGTCTACTACCCCTCTTATTTACCCCCACTACATTTACTACCCCACATTTCTCCCCTTCATTTTCATTCTTTCTTTATTTTATTTTACCCTTTTCTATTTTTTGTATTACTACACCTAAGATTAAACAAGAAGAAACCAGATAAACCATCGGTCCCGACGACTTATTACTGCCCAGCGCAGAAAGAACATCAAAAACATCTTGGGTAAAGGAAAATCAATTATTCGACAAGTCATTGCAAGATTTTTAGATCAGATGAATCAACATATTGTCATTTCAGTAAATAAACGGAATTGAAAAATGTAGAAAGTAAGTTAGCAGGGTGAAATTCATTAGAACCAGAAGCAAAAAAGTTAACAGACCGCAAAATACAAATCACGGCGGATAAAAATTTTATTGGAGAATATTTCATAGAGTTTAATATATGACGCTTTATTTTTTGTTCTAGTTCCACCAAACTACTGTTATATCTGCTTTCGTCTTACTCTTTGCTCATTCCAAATAAATTCAATAGCGTCTGAATAGTCGATAATAAATTGATATATAATGTATAAACATTTTAAATTTAAAAAAAAAAAAAAAACATAGTTTTTATCAGTTTTAAACATACTTTAAAAATTGCACTAAAACCATTTTTTATTTTTTTTATTTTATTTAATAATGATATTACTATTTCTAATCATAGTATTTAGTTTTAAATAATATATTTAAAACAAAGTAGTTTTTATTTGTTTTGTTTTTAAGTATGCGCATAAACTGCACACTTATTAAATAAAATTTAAGGTATTTTCCAGAAAAAAAATTGTCCAATACATTATATTATTAGGTATCTTAAAACATCCAGGAAAATATGTAGGATTATTAATTTTAATTAGGGTTAAGGATTTTAGTTATTTACTGTTTATATGTATTAGTACTATTTCTATGATTATCATAGTCAGCTGGAATTATTCTGATAGTGGAAACAATCGTTTACCTAATGCATATTATTATTTTTCAATGATTACCTATCTATATAGTCCAGTCGTTCCACTCCAACTCGATTACAGAACCAAATTTTACAGTTACACGTATTNTAAAAATGTTCATCTCGTTGACGGGATATTCCACTTTTAGGGTTTGGGTTAGAGGAGAGTAGTGGTGCATTATTAATATGCCGTGGAGCTGTACCGTCACACGAATGATACACCACTAGTGTTCTCTAACCCAAACTTAAAAGGGCATATCTCGTTAAGGGATTGATGGAAATCAAAAATTTTAGCACTAAAATTTATTTTAACTAATATTCCATATATTTATGGAATTTTTAATTTGGGTTACCATTTGAAAATCAAAATTGGGTAGTGGTTTTACCTTCGAAAATAAGGCTGACAAAAAATAATAAACATACAATTGTAAAGCAGCTTGTCACTTAAATAATCTAGAAAACAAATCCCGGAAAATGTTAATACTTTCAGAGATTAATGAGTGTACCCGCTTAAATAAAAATGATAAAATAAAATCAACAAAAATAATTAGATTTTTATGCTGAAAATACTTAAAAAACGGAATTTTAGGAAATGGTATTCAACAGAGGATGGATTTCAATAACTATATAAACCTTCTTCGGACAACGTAGAATAACTCCCCAAAGTTTCACGGGGATCGGATGAAATAGTGTAGTAATGCATAAATACTATAGACATATTAATATGTCTATGAAACAGACATAAAATCTTTGGTTTTTATATAACTATATGGCTATAGGTGTAGAAGAATAGTGAAGATTACCAACAGATACACTTATAATACTATGCGCATTATTGCATATCAGTCATCATTGATTATCATTGTTGTTACCTATATATTTGAAATTAATTTAACTTGAATAGGTACTTCAATATTATTAATTCAAATACGATATTTACATTTACATAATTATGTACATAAATACATTGACATCTACAAAGTAGGTATCTGTATATAATGGTTCGTAAATGTGTAATATGTGAAACACATAAACATAATAATATTATATCCTAGGACTTAAACTGATATTAATTATTTATTATCTTAATATTTTGTTTAAGACTGGACTACTTGAATAAATTATTAAATTTTAACTATAACTAAGTATTCACTGTGTATTCAGTAGCTGTTTGGAAATTTAAAAAAATAATTTTGTTCTGAACAATGGGCATCATATCAGTTCTGGTGGCCGTGGTGGTGAAACCGGGCGACTCGTTCATACAGCGTAAAAACGACACTAGATGGCTCTGTCGTTGTATGTTCATCAAGACGTTTCCACCAATTACGCTAAACGGACTTTTCCGGTCGTTAAAAACATTCCATCCGAGATCTGCCGACGGAATTACAACGCACCTGTACTAATAAAAGTTACTTCGGACAGTTCTCGCGCGAACGTGACGGTCTAAGTGCGGTAAAGCGTTACGCCGTTCTTGCGACCTGCTCGGTTCGGTTTGCCGTAATTTAGCATAAGTACTGGCAAACAACTCAGTGAAATTTAAGATCATACTTCACAGGATCATTTCTGTAGTATGCATCGTCCCCTCCAGGTGCAAATCTGGAGTCGTCATCAGCCACGATGATGAAATTTGTCCATCTGCCAGAGCGTGAGACAGCTGGTGGCTTGTCAATTTATTTGACTTTTGCCATTCAGCGACGATGATCGCAACCGGGTCTCGAACC